GCGTTGTGTTCTCCAACAAAAAACCGCTGCGCAAGAGCAAGACTTGCAGCTACATCGGCAGCCCTCTGTGGTGGCTCATTTCCGATGTCGTCGTCATCATCGTCATTTTCAGGAATGCAGTCATGGGGCCGAACCATCTGCACGATTTCGCTGTCCGTTAGTGGACCGCGTGTTTCGACATTGCTGTCCACAGCGACATACTCGTCAAAACGGACGTCACCGAGAGCGGCGCGAAAGCTACCGTCGTCGAGCTCATTTGTTTGCACTTCCACTGGCGCACAAGGAGAAGCATCCCCCGAGTTTTCCATGAAACCACAGACCCGGAAACAATTGGCAATGGTTTCTTCTTTCACGCGGGTCCAAGCTCGCGCTAGCATGTTGATGGCACTAAGCAAACTCACCTCGTATTGCGACGAGTTGTCCGTGCACAAAAGCATGCGCTCGACGAGATGCTGTCTATACAATACCTTCACATTTTTTATTATGCCCTGGTCCATGGGCTGCAACACAGACGTCGTGTTTGCAGGCAGGTACACAAGACGGATGGCACTCAAGGCAGGTACGTTCATGTGGGCACTACATTGGTCCACAAGGAACAACACCTTACGGCTTGATTGCGTGAACTTGCAGTCGAGTTTGGTGATCCAGTCCTTAAATATATCGGATGTCATCCACGCCTTTCTGTTCGAGGCATAATCCACAGGAAGTGTCTTCACGCCTTTAAAGCACCTAGGCTTGGCAGCCTTCCCGATCACAAGCAGGCGACACCGTTCTGTGCCAGTCATGTTCGCTGCGACTAGCACTGACACTCTCTCTTTGCTTCTTTTGCCTCCAGAACAGTCGTCGTCTTTAAATGTCAGGGTCTTGTCCGGTAGCAGCGGATAAAAAAGCGCAGTCTCGTCTGCATTAAAAATGTCTGCCGGCTGGTATTCTTCGAGGTACTCGCCCGCTTTCCATGTCAGGCACGTTTCCTCATCGACTGACGCCTTCTCCCCACACACGCTTTTAAAAATCAAGTCGTGGTGATGTTTGAAACGCGTAAGCCACCCATCCGAAGCAGCGAAGTCGTTGATGCCCAACATTTCAGCAAGCGATGACGCTTTTGCCGTGACAACTTCACCACTGAGAGGAAGTTTGTTGTTTCGTGCCTCTCTGATCCAAATCAGCAGTGCTTCCTCCAACTCGGGGTAGGTGCCGGTGTGCATCCGCTTCCACGATGTCTTGAATTTTTCACTTTCAAACGCATCCAATATTGAGCGCTTATTCTTTATGAATGTCGACAGCGTGTTAGGCTTAATGCCATACTTTCTTGCAATGTCTTGTTTGGCGGTGCCTCCCTGGTCAACTTCCTTCAAGACTTCGACTTTCGTCGCTAGGTCTAGCGTTCGGTAAGGGCCACGAGTTGCCATTATCAAACGTACGTCACCACCACAACACTCAAAATCAGAAGCGCGGAAACACGTGTGGAATCAACCCAGCGCGCGGGTGACACGGTGACACACTCGAGTCTCGACAAAAGTCAACTAAAGAGTCAGTCGATGTCGCCGAGGCGATTCGCCAGCGTTAAAAAAGATTGCCGCTTCAAGATCTGTGACGACAGTAGTGATGGCGAAGACACCAGCGCGGTCCGGCAGATGTTTTGGCATATGAAAAGTTCCCCATTTTACTGTAAAATTACGGTCGCGACGAGACTGTCGATTGAAAAAACTTCTAATTAACCAGTATTATGGGTTTTTAACTTCGAATTATCGAGCATTTTTTTTCTATACGATTGCATGCAAAACTGATGGGACCACTTGCTCATTTCTAATTAACCGAAACTTCCAATTAAGTGACTTCGAATTACCGGGAGTCGACTGTATATATATATATATATATATATATATATATATATATATATACACACACACACACACACACACACATGCACACACACTCTCTCTCTCTCTAATCAAAGGAAGCAATGTTGATTCCCTGGCAAAAACTGATAGAGTTAAATGTTATCATCAACCTGAGTTAACGAACTAGCTTGGCCTCTAAACCCGATTGAACAAAGTTTTTTTCCAATATTGCCTGACTAAAAATGCGATGATTTCCTTTCAATTTCACAAATACAGTAGACTCTCAGTAAACGAAACTTGAAGGGACCGGGAAAATATGTTTCATTTAACAGGAGTTCCGTTTACTAGGAGGTGGACTTGGGTGCTGAATACAAGCCCGAAACCCAGCATTGTAGAGGCAATAGTTCCGTTTAAGCAGTAGTTACGTTTATCAGATTTCCGTTCACTGAGAGTCTACTGTACAGGTTTTTCTTTGAGCATGCTCTCTAACGCGATTGAATTAAAACATCTAAAGCCTAGCTTTAGTATGACAAGGGTTCACACACCACGCTCATTCATGGAGTAATGGACTGAGCAGTCAGTGGTGCTATTGTGTACTAGATGGTGCTACATGCAGTGGTTGTTGGTTTCGAGATTTCATTGCAATAATTGTCTCCTTGCAACTTTCTGTCTTGGTCTGCTTGCATGATCACTGTATTCGATTTCTGCGTCTCCTTATATCTTTCATTCGACATTGCTAATGGTAACTGTTTCTTGCCTGCATTGGCTGGACTTAGTGCCTCTTACGTCTGGAAGACATGGGAGCCTACATGTTGGAGCTGAGCTTGGGCTGCCCTCGCAGACTTTCACATGTGCATTTTAGATTGGCGGCAAGAACAGCGGCCTGTTAGCTTGTGCTTCTCATTATGTTAAAACTCTAAATTACAAAATGCAAAAAAACCAATACAATACATGTGCATGGTCCAAATAAACCTAATAAAGTGCTGTGTGTTCATATCCACCATGTACAATGCGGTACTTACCGAGCATCTTAACTTCAATCCCAGATGCGAAATCTAAAGATGCACAGATGCTCAAAAAAAGAAAAAGGCTGCTGAGTGGGCTGCATGCTCGGGAATAAATAAGGAGTTGTTTCACCAATTTTAGTTTTATTCGTGAATTATGTCGCTGCCACGACATTTTGGAAAGGCTCAATCACATGAAAGCTCGCTCAAATGTGCCTTGCATTGCGGTATCGAGCAATCAACAAACCTGTAGGCTAAAAAATGAAATATCTAGGGGTTGAAAACAATCACACTGCTCTGACAACGGCATAGACGAATCACATGATGTTGTTGACGTCACAAGAACAGCAGTGCTGGCTTCTTTAGTGGTTGCCCTTGGGGCCTATAGCGTTGCATAAGAGTCACCTAACAACCAGGCGCCACACAATGAGAATCGCGCAATGAGTGGTTTATTGAATGCTTTCAACTGAAAGACTCGGCCATGATTCATCGTCATCATTGACAGCTTAAAGTGGGCATAATGCCTTACAAGTGTGCAGTTGGTTCCTGACTCATCTGCAGAATAATGAATAAAGATGACTTTCGTTGATTCAAACTCGAAGAGACCTCTGAATTTTGTTTGAATTATCAGAAGTTCTCAGTGAATTATCAGAAGTTCTCAGATAGATGACTCTGGGTGAGGTGACACCACACATTATGATTAGGCATTGATTTCATCACATTAAAAATTTTTTTAAGTGTTTTTAAACTCTAACTGCACGCAGTGAACAGAAAATAGAGGTGAAAAGTCCACTAGTTTATTGGTCTTTTACTGCTGATCAGACCTTTTAAAGAAATCGTCAACTGCCAACTTTTTTATTGCTATAGGTATGTGCCTTTAGCTCAAAGCTCTCTATACCAGTTGAGGAGTATCACAGTTTACCATGGGCGTTCTTCGTTTCAAACATTTGTTTACTTGCAAAGCCTTTTTTCTGGAAGGCCTCAGCTGCTTACTTTTTATTTTTAGACTGTTAGGATTATATAAACGTATAAATTTTTAATTAACAGTGGGAAAGCAGCAGACATCTGGTACGGAGCTGCAAAAACTATGAATTAACCGAATGATGGTGTTTGAATTAAAAGGCTTTTAAATACATTGGAAAAATAGATTACGGACCAAGAAATTTAATTTTGTTTAAATTAACCGAAAGTATGAATAATCATAGTTTGAATTATCACTACTGTAGTGACATATTGCGTGCTTCCCTACTTACTTGAAGTTACAGTTGCTTGCAGCGTAGTGGGCACCTTGCACGTGTACTTGTATTAGTTGTGCCGAGAGAGTCTCTAAATTTCTATTGATACAGGTCTGAAAAAATGTTTAGGACATGACCATTGAACTAACTAGCCCAACAACAAGTTCTAGTAATATACAGGCTTAGTTTTGTACCATCTCCACCGTGTTTTTGCTTTCAAGAGCCAGAAAACATTGATCACATTTTAGCAACTTGCCTTCGTTTCATTGGCTATAAGAAAAACATATTGTAAAATTTTATTCATAAACATAAAAATTACTCTCAATTTGGAAAATATTCTTTCGTTTCATTGGCTATAAGAAAAAAATATTGTAAAATTTTATTCAGAAACATAAAAATTACTCTCAATTTGGAAAATATTCTTTCGTTTGGGACTTATCTCGGCCACAGCAACAGAAACATCTGCTTAGCCGTATGTGAATTTTTTGGTGACCTGAAAAGAATTCCGGGCTAATTCATTTTTATTCAAAATTTTCACTTCAGCGTCTCTCTGATTAACTGATTGCATACCACTGTATTGTTCTATAATTATTTTATCTATATTTTATCTGAAAAGTCAACCGATTATTTTTTTCTTCATCTCAAGTCTAATCTTTATCTATATATTAACCTCTGGTTTCATGGCCAATCCCCGGAAGTGAGTAAGAGCCATGTCACAAGGATCAAGCAAGCAAGAATTTACAATAGGCTCTGGAAAGGGCGCTATTCCAACTTTCTCTGTGACTGTGCTGTGTGTTCTGTGCAAGCATGGAAATTTTTTAAACTTTTTTTCTTGTTGTGGTGGTGGTGGTGCTCTCCCTCTTTAACATTTTCAGCATAATTGCAATATTGTCAGTGGTTGTTGATCTCTCACTATGCAGGCCCAAGCGCTTCCAAAGGCGGCGTCTAGTGGATCAAGCCAGACAGAGGCTGTTTCTTCTATGGCTGTAACATCTGTGTCAGGAACGCCCAGTATTGCATCTTCTGCTCCACCTGTATCTACATCCAGTCAGGCTTCATCACCAACAGCAACTGGGCCAAGTATGCAAGCTAATGTTGCAGCTCAAGTTGTTTCTACTATGCCAGGCCCACTTCAATCCCCATCTGTACCAAATGAACCAGGAGCAGCAGCATCTGTTGCTCGCACTGAAGCTGTGTTTGGGCAAGGGTCTTCGCCAATAGTTATAGTGGTACCTGTGGCAAAAACAACTGGTACTACATTTTTTGGCCAGCCAGCTACATCTACACCTGCATCGACATCGGCTGCAACTTCTTTTGCACTAAGTTCTGCTACCGCACCATTTGCAAGCCCAGTTTTTGGCAGCCAGCTTGCTACAACTTCAAGCGAATCGCCTGCACCACAGACGGGAACAACTGCAGTTACCACTCCTGCATTCAGTCAGGCTCCCACAACGACCACTGCAGCTTCACCTGCCCTTGCTCCACAGGCCTTCAAGATGCCACTGGGAACAGTGACATCATCAGCTGCTCCACTGTCTTTTGGAGCGCAGCAAACAGTTGCCACTACCACTACCGCATCAGTGCCATTAACATTTGGCAAGGCAGCTGCAACCACAACAACAGCACCAGTGTCGGCATCATCTTTGTTTGGACAGTCGACTGCTGGTGCTGGTGCAAATGCGTCAACAATTTTTGGAGCCACGACAACATCAGCTGCATCTGCAACTAGCACACCTTCCATTTTTGGGGGTACAACGTTCACTTCGTCTACAACACCAGCTACCACATCATCATTCTGGAAGCCAGTGGCATCTGCTGCCCCCATGTTTGCACAGGCTTCGACGGGACAATCAGTCTTTGGACAGGCGGCAACAACAGCAGCCTCTCCTTTTGGTCAGCAAGTGGGGACAACACCAAGTTTTGGCCATACAGGGGGATTTGGCTTTGGCCTGACAGGAGCAGCGTCAACTGCTGCAAGCACTTCTCCATTTGGCCAGATGGTCCCAACAACCGCTACGGGAGGCACGAGCTCCTCCTTGTTTGGACAGAAGTCTTCGTTCGTCTCAGGTTCTGGACAAACACCATCTCTGTTTGGTCAAAGGTAAGAATAATTTGGCAGAACGAGTACTAGTGATAGGGTTGACTCTTGAAATTTGTAGCGCATGCACTTGTATTTCACATGTACTATATGCATAAGTGACATCTGACCAAGCTGTAGACATTCTGAAACAGCAGCTCAAGGGAGTGCTGTCATGACAGATGAGTTTCTTATGTTGTCCCTGCAGTGCACATCCATGTGATTCTAGAATGGCTTATCAATCTCCTATGGCAAAAGTTTTTCAAATTGGTCAAGAATAAGCAGAGTTAGAAGTAGTTGATGAAGGTCTCCAGTGTTTTTTTTTTTTATTTCATCCAGGCATGCATGCTGGAAGCTGTAAAGGGTGGAATGACAAAGAAGCAAAAAAGCTATGTCAGTGCACGACATGGCCTTTAGCACATTCTCTTCTTTTTTTTCTTCGAATGAATTGGCTGCTACTTACAGATGTGCATTAGCTGCGCCAATTGCAGCAATTAGATAAGATTCCCCATTTTTTCACCGAGCTGATCCAAAACCATGAAAGTTGTTGAATAGGTGCCTCACTGCACCAAAACACTCGGCCAGACTGAAAGATTCTTTTAGGTGTGCTAATTTAAGGAAGAACTGGAGGCCACGTCTTCTTGCAGTTAAGGCAACATCAACCAATCCCGTGTATGCACTCAGACCCTAACCCTAAACCACAGTTAGATTGTAGCCACCTTGTCACAGTGTGAGATGCGATATACCAGATTAAGTAACTATGCCACGTGCCGCTCGGTCTGCTGACTGCAGCTGATAACTAGTGGCAGGACGATGCGATTTCAACACAAAAATGCGTTGCCATACCCACCAATGCTACGCTGGAAATAAAAGTCTTGCTATTCAGTAAACGCGGCTATGGCATGTTTGGAACTAAAACTAAGAATGTATGCCGCATTTTATGTGGGCGGACGCTCCATGTGCTGGTAACAGTGGGGTTGCCGCCAACCACATAAAACGGCACATAAGACGTCTTTCTGTCTTGAAGTTTAGTCGTCCCACTGATAGATGCCCAGTGCGGTCACTAGACCAACAGACATGCACCTTTGTTACTTTATCTGCTTGAACGCTGCTTTCTTTCCTTGCAAGCGAGGAAAAAAAAGGGGTGGTGGAGGCAGTTCCAACATTTCTTGGCCATTTATATCCCGTGCAGAACGCTGCCAAACACATTGGGCTGGTAGACATCTTTAGAGTCGTTACAGACTTATTTAAGGGAGCAGACCGGTCTTAAATGTTTTTTGTTTATTTCTTCAGTGATCTTGATCAAACTGCACAGGGTTATGCAGTTTTTTCTGCTGATTGCAAATATTTAAATATTTTTCCTGTAACTCCTCTTGTTCCTGAAATGGCTTATGTTCACCTCCTATTGTTTAAGGCTGCCATAAAAAAAGTGCTTAATTAAAAGTGATATTTAATATATGCCAACATAGACTAATGACTATAAATTGAAAGTATTCAACAGTTTTTTGTTTTTAGGCCTTTCTTAGTTACTTTACAGCAAGATGAGCTATCCATTTTCAAAAGTAGTTGTAATTGTGTTATAAGTTTGATGTGTATTTAATTGAAAAGGCTTCTGCTCGAAATTCTGCGCTCGAAATTCTGCTCTCATACTTCCATTCTACACACATACAGGTTTCCATTGCAAAAGGAATTATTGTTGTACCTGCTCTAGCTACTGAGATATTGAGGCCTCAAAATTGAACAGTCGTAAATTTACATTTTTGAGAAAAATGGAAAAAAAACTGAAAACACACAGCTTCTTCAAAAATCAACAATCATGGTGCACATAAATTCGTAGCAGAGCTTCTAACACAGGTGCCGGCAAATTATAAAAAAGCCTCTAAGTCTGTCCCCCATTTTTTTGCAGGTTCTGCATGTTAACAGCACCAAGAATCTGGACAGTTAGAATGACATTACAATTACCACTTCCTGATGTGTGAAAATTTACAGAGACATAGAAAAATACTTGCAGAAACCAAATATGTGAATTTTCAAAAATGAATTTTTTGTCACTTTTTGGTTCCAAAGACCAGTCTGCCCCCTTAAGCTCTCTGTGTAAACGATGTAATTTATTACAATGCTTTAAAACTGCTAATTACAGATACTGCGCCTCAGCCAAATGCATTTTCAACTGTTGATTGGGTGTGGAATACGCGAAAGTAAAATCAGCTGGTAAAGTAGCAGCACCTGTCGGAGTAGATATCAACCACTTCGCGATCTTCGTCTCTGTTGCCAGACAGTGCCTGGCTGCTGGCACACTGGCTATGATATTGGTGATTGCACACAACCTGTCAGCACACAGTTTTAGAGGTCATGACTGGGTGAAGTGCAGATTGTTGAGTGCACTCATGAGATTGATAGATATGTGGGGTTTAACGTGCCGAAACCACCATATGATTATGAGAGACGCCGTAGTGGAGGGCTCTGGAAATTTCGACCACCTGGGGTTCTTTAATGTGCACCCAAATCTGAGCACACGGGCCTACAACATTTCCCCCTCCATCGGAAGTGCAGCCGCCGCAGCCGGGATTCGATCCCGCGACATGCGGGTCAGCAGCCTCTAGACCACCGCGGCGGGGCTGCACTCATGAGAGCTCTGCGATTGCCAGCAATGCCAGCATGTCTAATGAGTTGAGGCAAGGCAGGGTGAGAAAGAGGGTATGATGTAGTTGTGCGTAGCAAGCTTGGTATACGGTGTGTCTCTAAATTTGTGGTGCAAATGGTTTTATGCTGCCCTAGCCTAAACGCTGACAAAACTTCAAAGACCATTTCAGAATTTCTTTAAGCCATCGTGGCCGCAGTACACCTGTTCTCTCTGAAAAAGTGTACCATGGTTTAGAAGGGGCTTTCATCACTAGTCACGGAACACTAAACGTTTTGTTCCTCAATTACTCATGCCCGTATCTATACATAATTGCAAGTACAGTCGAGCCCACATATAACAACCCCACTTAAAACGAACTTTTGCTTAAAACGAACAATATCTGCATGACCGTGAAAATATACATCGGTTCAATAGCACGAAATCGCACTTACAACGAACGTCTTGGAGCGCCGCTGATCGGTTACAGTGAACGGGGTCAGCGGTCTGCCGACTTCCCGGGAAACCAATTTTGACCACCGGTCAGGCATTGACGAGGTGCCCATACATTCTTATTGTTAAACGCCGACTGTGCCTCTGTGACCCTCTAGTTGCCGCTCTCCCCAATCCATGGAGTTTTCTTCCTCCAAGCCCCGATTGCTTTTTGTTATGCACCACTCCGTCCTTTGTCCCCCCGCTACTCTGAGCACCCCGCATCACCAGACGAGGCCCATGTTTTCACACTGCCACCTATCTTTCGAAGGCCGGTTGGCCATCTACCCTGTTTTTGATCGCTGGTACTGTCATTGGCGTCGCCGGCCTGGAGTGACCAGACCATTTGCCAACATCGTTGGCCACCGACTGTATCCGATAGTCTGTGTATAGTGCACGCGTGTACGCTACCCCACCGACTCTGATATTTGCGATTTGTTTCGTGTTTAGGACTTGTTCTCGCTCACTTCACACTCAGCTCAGCATGCCTTCCGCGCGCGTGTGGAAGCGCGAAAATGGTTGTTAAATTGCGCGGAATGAATCGCAAAATATCGAAATTCGTGAGGCCACAGAAATTCATTGGGGCAACAAAACGATTTTTTCACCATGGCCACCGATTCTTCGAACACCGCTGCGCAAACCGATCCAGGCGGCCATGCTTTGACTTTTGCGCGCCCAGGCACTCTTTCCAAGTTTTTCTACATGCGAGTTTCGCGGACCTACGGGCGAGTTTCGCAGACCAAAAGCCTATAAAAAGTGACATCATCGAAAGTCTTCTTAGTGACGATGACATTCCCTCTGCAGGAACTCAAAAGCAGGGCCCTGTCCCAGATCATGCTTCATGTGTTCAAGCAAAAAGTGATGACCGGCTCATCTTTTACATTTGTGGTTACGTTTCCAGGAAGGTATTGTTGAAATCGGAGTGGGATGAATTCCACAAATTGCTTCTCACAAAGAAGGATGCTGTTAATTGTCTTGCTGCTGCTCAGTACACCCTGCTGCGAGACAACGGTGACCTACTGTACCCAACTGGATGGCTTTTCAGATTGATTCAGAGGTTAGAAAATCTATTCACAGTCATATTCAGTACACAGGAGCTGCATCATGAGAGTGTGATGGATGTCATTGCTCTTGTTAAGAGAAACCGTCAAGAGCGGATTGAATGTGCCAGCCATGCAGAGTCGTTGACCGTGAAGGTTAGAACTTTTTATGTCACCACTTGGCTGGAATTTTTTGTGAAGTCTTTAAACCGGTCGAAGAGTAACAGTCGGGAGACCTCAAGATACCCGAAGTTGAGCCGTTGTACATAACTATGTATAATGGTATTGCGTGCTCTCTTCCGGGGAACTCTTCATTTGCAGTATGTTTTGTGAATATGCCTCCCCCTACAATTGATAATGTGACCTAAATAAAAGTGTCTGCAGGAGGCTCGTGCTTCTGATATGCAAGTTTATTTCATGCATTCATTTAGCAGAAAAATAGTTTCTATGTTTCCTGTTGACTGGTGCAGCTAAATGAAGTTAATAAACACAAAGCGAAATTTCGATGCGTTCTGCTGCAGCAGCACGAAGTGCATGCATTCCAATCAGATATTGCTGCAGGTAAGCGCCATGTACTATCATCACATGTTACAGATCTTAGGGTCGCTTACATAACACCTTGCTGAGATATTTTATTAAGAGTGCGTAGCAGCGCAAATGACAGGAGCGGACAGAAAAGAGGACACGTCAGCACTCTGATTCTTCTCTTCTGTCTCCTCCTGTCGTTTTGAGTTGCTGCACACTCTTAATCATGTTGTACCAACATGCCCAATCCTGCTGTCTTTTAAGTGACATATTTCGCACGAGAAAGAATGAACATGACACTTTAAAACCTTTCGACGATGCACTCGCTCATGGCGGCCAGCCTGGAG